ATTACTAAGCTCATCAAAGAATTTTTCATTTCTAGCTTTTTCACTTGGTTCATTCCATCTTTTGCTGAAATTCTCTGTTTACCCATGTTGTTCAACATCTGGCCCATCACTGACTTTCTGTTATCTTTTTTCTTGCCTGACTAGGGGTCATATTTTTGTTTCTTTGTATGTCTCAATTTAGAGTATGGTTATGTAAAAGAATAGTAATTTGCTTCCATAAAAAATAGCTCCTTCTTCAAATTATCTCTGTAAAAGCAGTTCCTTTTTCAACCTTCAGTAGTTGCCAGGGCAATGAAGGTAGAGGACGATGTACTTGAGCTGGGTTGAGAGATGTTGCTATGTTAGTTAGACTGAACTCATGAATAGCCTAAAATGATTGTAGGATGGAATCAGAATTACCTTCAGGAGAAGTTGGAATCCTGAGCACTGTTGAAATCACAGTTTTGGGGGTTTTGTTTGTTTTTGTATTGGGGATTAAACTCAAGGCCACTCAACCACTGAGCCACATCCCCAGCCCTATTTTGTATTTTATTTAGAGACAGAGTCTCACTGAGTTGCTTAGTGCCTTGCTTTTGCTGAGGCTGGCTTCAAACTAGGGATCCTCTTGCCTCAGCCTCCTGAACTGATAGAATTATAGGCATGAGCCACCACGCCCAGCAAAACCACAGTTTTGAGCTTTACCATATAACTGCTAGCTCTCTGAATTGTGAGAGACCTACACCCCCTTCCTCCCATCTTCCTCTCTCCCTCCACATTCTTGCTACCAACTGAGGAGTTGTCTTTGCTCCCCAGTAGCACCATCTGTTTTATGTGTCTTGGGGAGATCTCTGCCTCTTACCCTGACTTTGCCTTCTGAAAGGCTACTGCCTTGTCCACAATAAAAACCTGAATAGCCATAGAGGAAATTTTATCAGTTCTCTTATTATGCCCTCAGCTTGTTATGCCTGGCAGCCCCAGCCTTATACTTTGTAAAGGTCTCTAGTGCCTCAAAGGGATTTTTAACCATTTTCCAGTCCTGCCTTCATCCTTCAGCAGGCACCATCCACCTCAGGGGGATCATTCTATGCTCTTTCTCTGCTCCCTGTCTCCAAACTCCTACACCCATTTACTCACTAAAGGCCCATGGGAAAGAGTTGGCAAGTAAGTACAGCTTTGATCAGTAGCTGACACTCCTCAGGATTCTTAACTGTCATTCCAGCCCACATGCAATCAATAAGTTTAGCTGACTTTTCTTTAACTGCAAGCCACATTCTTGCCTCAGGACATATGACTTGTGTCCTCTTCCAACTTGTTCTTTTGCCAGGCAGTCCCATGACATATCCTCTGCTGAGTATCACCTTATCAGGCCTCTTTTCCACTCTACATTAAAGACAGTTCCTCCCTCCCCTCACTCCCCTAGTTCCCTTTCTCTCTTACCTAGCTTTATTTTTCTCCAAAGCACTTTCACCACCTTATCAAATTGTTTATTATCTGTCTTCCTGTAATCAGAATGTAAGTTCAATGAGAGCATAGCCTCCTGTTCATCCTCTGCTGGATACCCACTGCCCAGAACTGAAACTAACACACAGTAGCACACAATAAATAGTTATTGGATAAAAAAAAAAACCAGATAGCAGGGGAAAAATCAATGGAAATATAGTTATAGGACAGAACTGGGAAGCTTGGGTTTGAACCTTGATTCTGGGTCCACAGAATCTTTCCCAAGTGTCCTCTTCTGCTTACCTAGACTTCCCTGCTCCACCCCACCTCTCATAGCCACCCTAGAGGAAAATTAACATATAGATTCATCTGGCTTTTTGTGATCTATTAATAAGATCTCATCTTATTAATGTTCTCATATATGTTCTTTTAACTATACCATGTGATAGCAGAGACCAAAATGTTTGTAAATCCTGAATTAAGAAAATAACTTTAGGGGCTTGGGAATATAGCTTAGTGGTAGAGGATCACCTCACGTGCATGGGGTCCTGGGTTGCATCCCCAGCACAGAAAGAAATAAAATATCACTTTAATGTGAAAAACTACAATTAAATATTTTATTGTGAAGTCTTCCCTCAACACCTCTGACTAGTCCTTACTATAAATATAGAAAGGAAAATGCTGAAATAGGAGAAAAATCTAAGTAGAAGGAATTAAAATGTGTTATATATTTCTAAAAATAGACATGCCTTAACAAATATTAAACAATAGCAAAACCTTAATGGTAACAAGGGATATGTTCCAATATATATTTTGTTCCAAGTGAATTAAAATGTAAGCAACAACTTGACTCCTGTTTGTAACAATTACAGAAGATAAAACTAAAATCTAAAAATTGTTAGGAAAAATCTCAGAAAATATTATTACTTATTTATAATGGGCACAATGTTGGGGATTGGGCCCATGGCCTCTTGCATGCTAGGCAGTGCTTCAAATTTTAAGCACTGTTTCATTCCCCACATCTGAAAGGTTTCATGTAAAACACTGTTTTATAATTCACCAAAAATAAATGCCAATTCCTGAACTTGAACTGAAGTTGACAGGAGAAACTCTAAGTGTTGTTACAGCCGTGAGTATGAATGCTGATCTAATCATATGTTTTCACTAATTTCTTTTCATTTCAACTTTGTAAGAGAGGAATGAAAAAGGTTAGGCATGCCTACTCTGTTCTACAACATCTAGCCCAATGCCAAAAAACCAAAATACAAATCATTCACAACTGCTCAACCTTAAAGTCTAAATAAAGAAAAATAACTTTCTTTTTTTGGTACCAGGGATTAAACCCACAGGCGCTTAACTACAGAGCAACATCCCCAGCCCTTTTTGTTTTTTATTTTGAGACAAGATCTTGCTAAATTGCTGAGGTTGGCTTTCAACTTGTGATCCTCCTGCCTCAGCCTCTCGAAATGGTGGGATTACAGGCGTGTGCCACTGCACCTGCTAAGAAAACTAACTTCTTAAACATATATATGGCACATTAAAGAACATATGATGCATTATACATTACAGAACAATCCAATAATCACATAAGCAGATTCTAAAACAAACCACTTGCTTTTGAAACCTGGCTCAATTATCAGCTGAGTGACCTTGGCAAGTTACTTTAACTCTGTGTCTGTTTCCTCATCTCTAAAATGGAGAAACGGCATCTTCTTCCCAGGGCTGCTAAAGTTTGAGACATAAGGCACTTAAAAAATATCTCACCCAAAGAATATACACAAATATTGTCATTATTACTGAGGCAGTAGAAACAAATGAAATTTTCACTAATAAGTAGATTTCCAAAATTAATGTGCATAATCATTTATATCAACTGTTAAAGTGGCACATTTAGATTCAAGCATTTAATGAAGTAAATATAATCTCAAACAGTTTTAGGGACTACATAGGCAGCCTCTTCATCTCTCTCCCTCCAATACTAACCATTTCCTACCACAGAAACCTATGCATTTTATCAATCAATTTAATCCCTTCTATGAGTTAGACTCTTCATGCTTAAAAATATACAGAAAGCAAAGCATTTCCAAGTTCAGTAAAACAACCGCTAGTACAAAAGTACTGTAGAACATTTTTATGGTAGAATACCTAAAGCTCTAAAATCCACAATAGTGAGTGAAGTAGACTGTGGGTCATATGGGAGGACTGGAAAAATAAAAGGAAAATAGAAACAGGAGGAATGTGAGACTTCACAAAGCTGGAAAAATTCAATTCCTAGATATTCTTCCTTTCTCCTTGTTTATAACTGCATGAGATTTTCTCACATACCACATAGAAGTAAATTGATACAATATTTTAAATGCTTAGAATTCTATAAAATTCACTTTCTGAAACTCTTGCCAGCTCCATTAATTCAAAAGAAACACAAAATGAAGATGTCATTACTGTTATTTGTGGGTGATGTTTTTTCCTGCTATCAACAGGCCACACTTGGAAGTTGTTTCTCCAGAGTCAAGAGAGGTACAGACTATCACTTTCTTTTACTAACACCCCTCTTAGTTATGGAAAAAAAATAAAATAAATAAAAAGGTTATCTAGGGAAGGCCAACTGTGCTTGGGCAGTACCCTGCATCTCAGCTTATCAGCACTTCTACTAACCCTTGCAGATAAAAAGCAAATCTCCACCTAATCACTCATGGTAAAAGAAAAGGGAAAAACTGTTTCTTAAAATTAGGCATTTTCCTATTACCAATCCCCTTAAATATCCTACATCAAGGGCGTGTCCCCAAGAAGGAGGTCTAGTTCCTCTCTTCTTTTACACCACTTGGAGACCTCTGGCACGACCTCTGGCAATTCCCTGAAGCTTAGGCTTTCAAAAGAGCTTACTGGAGACAGGTGGTATGTCCACGATCTCTCAAGTTTATTGAGCAAAGGTAAAGACTTAAGACGTTTACAATGTGATAATTATGGATTAATTAAATCCCTTAGTGAGGGTGCTGCACTCAGGGGGAAAAAAAAGCCTCCAGCTCAAGGTCCCCCCCCCCCTTTTTTTTTTTTCACAAAACGAGAAGGGTCTCTCCAAAACTATAAATTTCCACATGCTAGAAAATCTATCAGAACGATAAATCTGAAAGAAATACATATTATGTGCCATTTATATAACTGCATAAAAATAAGACTAGAAGTACATAGATTGCAATGTAAATAGAAATATATATAACATTCATATAGACTCTTTTTTTTTTAACCACACCCTCTCTGTGTGGCTTCCCCGGCTCGCACGGGCCAAATAACGTCACGCCGGCGGGCCACGGGGTGGGGATCCGGGATGTGACCCAGACACCCAACGGCAGAGAACACACCATCGCGGTGGCCCCTGGCAGACAAGCGCTCGGCACCCCCAGGTCTCCCCCTCCCCGGGCCCGCCCAGCCCTGCCCTGCCCTTCCCAGCACTCCCGCAGGCCGCGGCCCAGCCTCTTCGCAACCCCGGCACCGCCCGCCCGAGCCTAGCGGGCGGCGGCGCGAGGACCCGGCCGGGGCGGGGAAGGGCGAGGCTGCCAGGCCCACGCGGGACCCAGACTCACCATGGCCGAACGACCGCGAGCGCGCCCACAGCCCGGAGTCACACGGCGCCGGCGACGCCCGTTGTCCTGGTGACGCCAGCCCGGCGCCCCGCCCCATCCTCAAGGTGGGCTCACAGGCGGCCATTGGCGTCCGGCGAGCACGTGACCCACAGGGGCGTTGCCCTTCGGACCGCCCACCTCGCCCCCCACGCCACTCTTCCTCTCCCACTTTGCATCTGGTGCATCTTTGGCCTGATCACCTTGAAGCCCCTCACCTGACAGGTGACCCAGACGCAAACTGCCCAGCAGAAAGAGACCTTCGTGGATTTTCCTTCTTTAAAAAACGAATTATAAAGGTAACATGACTATTGAGGACCTTTAAAATTACCAATAACAATTAAAAATAATAAAACCACACTATACGCCAAAATCTGAGGTAGCCACCGTTCATTTTCCAGTCTGTCTGCTTCTAAGCTTATCATAAAAATATATCATGTTTTATTCTTTAAAAGTGGTGGCAAACCTTATATACTATGTTATAATCTATTCAGTTTCAAAGTATTATCTTAAGCTAGTTGCAGTGGCAATACCTGTAGTCCTAGCTACTCAGGTGGCTGAGGCAGGAGGATCCCTTGAGCCCAGAAATATGAGGAGGCAACATGGCAAGATCTTCATCTCAAAACAAAACATGAAATCTTGGATACAAATTAATGGAATGGCACTTGTGGCTATCCTCTAATTTATTAAATCAGCCAGTAACTTTTTGGATTTTTTAGTATTTAGTTTTTCAAAAAAAAACTAAGTTTAAGAACTTAAGCTGTTCTTAAATTCAGCTCATTAACTCTATGAGGAAGGAACATTCAGTAGCTAACCTGACATCTCCCCTCATATGCATTACAACCTTAATGCAGTCCAAATAAACCTCCCCAGTCTTCCCTACTCCAGGAAATGTTTCTACTATTCCCAGTGTTGATCTGTTGATCAGGACAAAAACCTGAGAATAATTCTTAATTTTTCTCTTTGTCCTCATACCTCACTTCCAATCCATTAACAATTTATTTTTGTTTGGTTATCAGTGCTGGGGATCAAACACAGGGCCTCCCCCATGCTAGGCAAGAGCTCTCCCACTGAGCCACATTTCCAGGTCTATTCTTGATTCTACCTTAAAATAAATCCTAAATCTATCCATTTCTCACCTTCACCACCCACCACCATCTCTTGCCTAAATCTGTCTCTGTGTACTATGCTTTGAATGTTTGTGTCATTTTCCAAAATTCATGTTAAAACTTAATCTCCAGTACAATAGTATTAAGAGATGACCTTTAGGTGGTGATTAGACCATGAAGGCTCTGCTCTGGTGGATGGGATTAGAACCCTTATAAAAGGGCTTGAGAGAATTATTTCATTCCCTTTGTGCCCTTCCACCTATTTTGCCTTGTGAGGACACAGCATTTGTCCCTACTGGAACATGCAGCAACAAAGGCTCCATCTTGGAAGCAGAGAGCAGCCCTCACCAGACACAAAACTGCTAGTGCCTTGTTCTTGGATTTCCCAAGCTTCAGAACAGTCAGCAACAAATTTCTATTTTTTATAAATTACCCAATCTGGGGTATTTTATCATAGCAACATAAATTAACTAAGATATATCGTGCTGCTGATCTTCCCTCCAACAGTATGCAAACAGCAGTGTGTGACTTCCCATGTTATTTAGAAAAAAATAAAGCAAATGCTTCAAATGGTCTGCAAGATCCTACATGATAAAAGTCTTGTCCATTGCACTCACCCCATCTCCTATTGCTCTTGCCTCATTCACACCTCACTAGCACACTTTATTTCTTAAGGTTCCTTTTATCATGCCACATGCCATTCTATTGAAGAGCCTCAGCAACTGCTTCCTTTACTTGCAATATTCTTCCTGCAGTACTATACACAGCCCATGCCTCCACTTGACACAGGTCATTTATCTCGTCCAATATCATCTTCACAGAAACCTTGACTATTCATCTAAAATATCTTTTTTGAAGTCACTTTCACTTCAATCAAGCTGTCTCATCTAACCCTATCTTGTTTTCAGAATACTTAGTCATGGGTCTGGGAGTATAGCTTAGTGAGAGTGCTTACTTAGCATACATGAGTACCTGGGTTTAATCCCCAGCACCAAAAAAAAAAAAAAAAGAAAGAAAGAAAAACATTTTTCGTTGAGCATTGTAGCAGAGATTACTTGAACCCAGGAATTCAAGACCAGTATAGGTTTAGTCTCAAAAAGAAAGAAAAATAATTTATTAATGAGTATATTACTTTGATAGGTATTATTCTGATGTCAATAATTTTTATATTCAGCGATTAAAGTTTACTTATCATTGGAGTTGCCGCAGAGTTCCTGTCACAAGTGTGGTCACACTGGGATGGATTCCTTTTCTTCTTCCTTGGTGGCCAATTTGGACACAGTGGACCCAAAGTTGCAGCATTTCATTGAGGTGGAAACTCAGAAGCAGCGCTTCCAGCAGCTGGTGCACCAGATGACTGGACTTTGTTGGGAGAAATGCATGGACAAGCCTGGGCCAAAGTTGGACAGTCGGTCTGAGGCCTGTTTTGTGAACTGCGTTGAACGCTTCATTGATACGAGCCAATTCATCTTGAATCGACTGGAACAGACCCAGAAATCCAAGCCAGTCTTCTCAGAAAGCTTTTCTGACTGATCTCAGCATTACCTTTTGGGAAAAAGAAGGTAGTTCAAGAAAGGAAGAGCTATTGATGGGATAGTTGAAGAATTGACTATGGGGCATTGGCCCCCCCCTGTCTTTTGCCACTTGTGGGATATCATGTCACCTGAGAATAAACAAAGACCAATTGTTTTTTGTGGGGTTTGAGGGTCATATGTGTATTTGGTTGTGTTTTTTAATGTTAATCTTGTAAAAAAAATTGACAGAAAACTTAGATGCATATTACTGAATATAAGACTGCTTTTTCTCAAGGTCTCCTTAACAGCTATAATTTTGATAGTGGAATTGCTTTCTATAACTTGATGTTGGGATCTCATAAGTAAAAATCTCGATTTGTGTGAATTTATTTCATTTTTTAGGGAGATCTTTGTGTCTGAAAAGAGGGCAGCGGGAGAGTGTGATTTGGTACTTAATTTGGCCTCCTTGTCTAGTTTTTGACTACCAGTGCTGGAAAAAAAAATCTTTAGAGTGTTTATACAGTACACTTCAGCTTTCTAGGTTGTGTCTCTCCCCTTTACTATGATTCACTTAAAAATATCTATATTAAAATATGGTCTCAAGGTAGTACAGGCAGCCTGAGAATCTAGAAGCCTTTAGTTATAAAGGAATCTGACCAGTAAACATGATTCTCATTACTAGACAACCACAGGAAGAAGTAAACCTAAAGGAAGAAGTAAACTTGTACTGTACATCAGGGTAAAAAAAAAAAAAATTCAAAGATGGTGCCTAAAGAAATGATATCATTTAGCCCTGTCAGAAACTAATAACAGTTTTAAGTAGAGATGCATACCTGATGTTAATCATTATAGATTTAATTTACTGCATTCTTTTGACAATTAAAATAAAAGTTTCTATTCTGAAAAAATAATGTACTTATTATAATTCTGCTGGATCTGTTTTGCTACTATTAATATTTTTTATATTTAAAAAATTAGGATTTTTGTGTCTATGTAAGTGAAGTTGCCATCTTAGTGGTTTCGCTTATTTGTTCATTTGTTTTACTATGGAGTTAGCCTTTCAGGCTGCTACAACAAAATACCACAGGCTGTGTAGTTTATAAATAACAGAAATTTATTTCTCACACTTCTGGAGGCCTGGTTCATAGGTGGCATCTTTTCACTGTGTTCTCATATGGTGGAAGGGACTTGCTAGCTTTCTGGAGTGTATTTTTCTCAGGACACTAATACCATTTGGAAGGGTTCTGCTCTCATTATCTAATCACCTCCCAGGGCCCCCCCCCTTTTTTAAATATTTTTTTAGTTATACATGGACACAATATCTTTATTTTGTTTATTATTATTTTTTTTTTAATGTGGTGCTGAGGATTGAACTCAAGGTCTCTCATGTGCGAGGCAAGCGCTCTACCACCGAGCCCCAGCCCCAGCCCCAAGGCCCCACCTCTTAATGCCATTGTTTTAGGTTAGGTTTCAACACATGAATTGAGATATGGACACACATATTTGCTATGTATATTCAATATCTGTGATAAGATTTTCCCAACCTCATAAAATAAGTTAAATATATGATATAATAAAAAAATTGTTCTTTGTCCCCAATTCCTGACACAAGGCTCCCAAAACCCTTGGGATTTGCTGAGTAACAGGGGAGTCTTTTGTTATTCATAAGATGCCATTTTTTATCACATCCAAGTTTATGCCTATGAATGACTTAGGGTGGAGATCCTAGAAGACCTCAGGATGGGGCTGGCTACCCCAGAAAGACCAAGAGATAAGACGATTGGAACTTTTAGCCCTACCTTCCAACCTCCAGCAAACTGGTGGGGAGGAAGACAGAGATTATTCTTTGTAAAAACTTCGGAACAACTAGATTTAATGAGATCCAGGCAGACACATGGAGGTGCTGGGACTGTGATGCACGTGGAGAGGGCACAGAAGCTTCTCACAACTCACATACATTTGCTTAGGCACCTCTCCTTATCTGTTGTTCCTCAGTTGTATTCTTTATAATAAACTGGGGAATGTAAGTCAAATGTTATCCTGAGTTCTGCTAGAAGCATTCAAGCAAAGTATCATACCTGACAAAAAGTTTGTAGAATAACCTTACTTATAGCCAGTTGGTCAAGAATAGAGAAGGCCCAGTCTTGCAATTGGCAATCTGAAGTCAAAGACAGTCTTTTTTTATTATTATTTATTTTTATTTTTAGTTGTAGTTGGACACAGTAACTTTATTTTACTTATTTATTTTTATGTGGTGCTGACGATCGTACCCAGGGCCTTGCACATTGCTAGGGGAGCACTCTCTATAACTGAGCCACAACCCCAGCCCTGTGAAGTCAGAGACAGTCTTGTGGGACTGAGCCCTTAATTTGTGGAATCTGATGCCAACTCCAGGTGGTGTCAGAATTG